GGTTCGGGAAAAGTATTGAAGGGCCTTGATGTGTCGTAGTGAGGTCCGGAAAGGCCCAGGAGGCTCGAACTGAAAGGTATGGAACCCTGGCGATGGTTCGGGACTGTTCGAGTCGTACACCGTGTAGCAAGCCTTAGTAAGGAATTACTAATTCCTTACACTCTCCCCCCTTCTAGATAAGCACACAAATAAATAAAACTACACACACGCTAACTGAATCTCGTAGTAGTGACACCACCACTGTTGAGAATCTCGAGCTTCTTCAAGAAACTCCATCCAACGGGCGAAACATGTCGAAACGATCGCCGTCGATCGTAGCCGTGGAACCTTGGTCGATTTACCCAAATAACCAAACGGGCAGCAGGGATACTACCGCACCACATCTTCCTCGTTTCCAGCGACTCCTTCGCCGAGAATTACAAACCCAATCGTCGTGTACTGTATCCGCACAGTAACACTATGATATTCACACTGCTGCAAGTTGGCGAGCCGAATCTTCTGCATAGCGCCAAACTTGTCCGTGGTTCCACCACTGTAGATCGATCCTCGTTTAATTCCACGTGAGTCGTAACACTCGCAGAAACACGCGTCCGTATTTCGCAAAGCCAACGAACTCCAGCTATTCGTCAAATGCGAGGTCGTTCGCGACACATGCGAGAACACGCGTCCGTGTCTCACGAAAGTCTGCGAATTCCATCAGCATATGGACGAAAGCCCAATCAGTCCTGTAACCGTTCGCAATGTCAACTCCGGCGGTTAATGTAAACACGCCTTCAACTTTCGCAAACTCTTGCGAAAATTCCTGAAAAGCCAGCTCGAATCGGTCCATCGATTCAGTCGGTCGAACAGCTTCTGTCCGTCGATGCTCATGCAGCGGATGCCAAACTGTCGAGGGCAAATCCAAAAAACAACTGCTGCGTAGCTGCTCTCTCCCCCCTCCATGAAAAGAAAATCTTCTGTCGTTGATGCCGAAAACACCCAACTTCAAGTTTCTTCAGACCCGAAACTTCAAGTATCTTCAACTCCTGTTCGTCGGGACCAGTCTCAGCGCGACCCTATAACGCAGGGCAGCTGCACCACGTAGACTCTAGCTCCATCCGACGCCGTAGATCAATATTCTGCTCCGCAGAATGCCCTCGATTTCCTTCGTGTTGTTACCCTCAGTAGAATTTTTCTCAACTCCACCTGACCGGTTCGCCGTGCAGACGTTCACCCATCGCGCGACGACGGCAGGTACCCTAGAAAAACTTGGGTACAGTTCTCAGCTCCGAAAAGCGCATTCTCTGCAGTTTCACCGACTAACCATGCTGGTATTTAAACGTTCGCGCAGCTCGGTAGGTACCCGTGGCCTCAACTATCGCTCCACCCAAAAACTTGAAGAATTCCCACCCGGAAAATATCCGACGTTTAGCGACGCGCTGACGTTCACCCATCATTGCGCCCGTCCAGGTAAATCCACGAATGTGTCTTCGCAGCCGAGTCTTTGATTATAGCCCCCCAACTCAGGAATAATCCCTGACTCCCGCGTGACTCCAAATTTTCCGTGACGGCAACACGTTTTTCCCGCTGCAAGAGTAACCCTTGTCGTCCGGAAGCTCCATTTGATGAATACACTCCAGAGCAGGGGTGAATCCGCCGTGTGCCCATACTCAGGTAAGCGCAAACGCTATCGTAGTTGGGCGAATTAATCAGTCATATTCGCGGGCAACCGCTTTGCAGCTTACGTGAGGGATTCTCCTTCCCCTCCCTGTAAAAACCCGTTCCTGCAACAATCTGCTCAAAACTGCATCAAAATTTCTTCAACTGCTGCTTCCACGATTAAATACCCCCCCATAGGCCGTTGTTCACCCAGCGCCCAAGTTCGTCATTCTCCCAACAGTACCGCGCACGTTCTTTCGAAAACTCGCGGCTCCATCGTTCTTGGTGACACATCCTCGCCGTTCGTATCGGACTCGAGCTCCTCATACCGTCCGATCATTGTCGCAAAAATCCTTCGCTATTTTCGTTAACCTGCTTCACGCGCCTCCCACTGCAGAGCGTCCGATTTTCACCAATCGTTCGCCTGTCGTGTAGCGCCGATTTTTTTTCTTCATCGATCCACCAGCACAGGGTGATCCGATGGCTCATCCTCCCTTATTCGTCCGGGAGCGGTCGATAACATGTATCGTACTACCACCCGGTGGAGATGTTGAAGATCGGGCGACCCAGCCAAAACAGTCGGAGGATCCGTCTGCCGCTGACTCTGAATTTTTTCCCGGCTGTTACCCGGTCGTTCTCCTTCTCTGCTACAGCTCTTCGTCGTTGACTTTTAGTGGTGACCCGGCGGATGACACTTAAATTCGACCCGAGGGTAGTTGCTGGTCGTCCTCCGTAGATCGTGTGGTGTAATTTCTGACCACGAAAATGGCTTCCTCTGCAGGAATCCAGACTCGCCGAGCTCGAAACTCCAGGGCAGACGAATTACACCTCCAGGCGGGCAGGTCACGCGAAACAATTTCAAGGTCAGTACTCCTCGAAACTTTTCCGTGCCTGAGCCCCACGTGTGCTGCCGTGCGATCCTTGGTCGTGCCGAAAACTCCAATGCCGCGTTTGCTGAACAGGATCCACAGTCCCGTCTTCACCTGCGTGTCGCCTGCCGGAAACGCCGAGCCATCAGCTACACTTCACCATGCAGCCACGTCTGCTACACGCGCTCCTGACGAAATCCATTTCGCCTTGGGATATCCGTGAGCTTGTCGTCTCGTGACGAGCTCCTCGCTCCATTCGGACACCAATCCGAATCGTTGTTGCTGCTTGCCGAAATTTCCGAAACTGCAACCGAAGCCCCTTTAACGATATGCGAAATAAACAACATACCTGAAATACTCTTCAAAAACTCCGCCATGTCAGGACGGACACAACCGCCCTCGAGGGGATGGCTCTCAAAAAAAAAAAAAAAAAAAAACGTTATGCCCTCGGAAGCCCAGCGGGTGAGGAAAGTGGCTCCGAATACCAAGTGTTATGAATGGGACTGCCGAGTAGCGCGGAGGGCAATGGCGAAACTGTGAACGAGTGAATGACAATAAAATGAAAGACAATACAATATATAAAAAGCCTAGGGTGATCCTGATCGTAGGATCGGAAGGTTCGGGAAAATTATCGAAGGGCCTCGATGTGTCGTAGCGAGGTCCGGAAAGGCCCAGGAGGCTTGAACTGAAAGGTATGGAACCCTGGCGATGGTTCGGGACTGTTCGGGTCGTACGCCCTGTAGCAAGCCTCAGTAAGGAATTACTAATTCCTTACAAAATCCGACTCAGGTAACTGTACACGACTTGGGTAACTGCCTGCGCTGTATTACAGGGTCAGTTATGTGTCATTGCTGTCGTGGCGGACCCTTGAACTTCTGTCGGTTCCTGTCGGTCAACGGTCAACAACCGTTGCACTTTGTACCTCGCGTCATAGGCTTCGACTTGACAAGGGTTATAGCTCGAGCATTACTTTCAGGAATGTAATAATTTCCTTATCGTAACAAGGTGCATTCAAGGGAGAATATGCTTATTTTGAATGAAGAAGGGCAAGTTATGCACCTGGAAAAGGCAGTGTTTTAAATAATTATATTCAGAACTGTACCTAGCAGTCGTTGGTCCGCACGCCTTTAAGGGCGTGTCCTAAGCGTTCATTTTTTTCCCAATACCCTACCGAAACGTTTTACGGAGATATTTCATCCTTCGGATTCCTAAAAAACCTTACTCAACCGCATTCCGACGTACTCCCAGGACACGCCCTAAAGCATGCATGGGAACGTGCAACAGCGAACACTAGGGAACTGCTGACCCGACAAGGAACTTGGCCAACCTGACCCAGTTCAGGTGACAACTAAACCCTAATGACCCATCTCGGGCTAACCCTAATCTCACGGGCTCTCAGCAGTCCGAAGTTGTTTGCTCCAGAACAGGGAATCCGTACCTTCACTAGATCCAAGTAGAAGCGCGTCACCGCTGCTAGATGCCAGCCCGCTGTCACTGGCGAGCAGAGGCCGTGCTGTCAGCGCATTGCCTAGGTGGACGTTATCGCAACCCCCAGGAGCCTCTCCGCGTGCCTTGATCCTCCTTTTTAGTCCCCACTACCTCTCTTCAGACTGCCCTTCCTCCTCTTATTGGGACGTGCCTCTCACGGCGAGCCCTGCATTCCAACATTCGTCTCCTCTGCTTCTCTCCCCACCTGTCCCCATCCCCCTCGTGGGTGCTCAGCTTACCACTGCCGTCGCCATCCCCCTCTCCACCCGCTGTCGTCAGTCTCTCCTAGCCTGCGCGCTGCCAGCTCAGCCGTATTGGGGATCCGCTCCTCGTCCGTCCCACCCGCGCTTCTCACACCTCCCTCTGCGCCTAGACCCCATTCAGTGCGCCCGGTGCCGTGACTGCGAGCGGTGAAGCATGCATGGGTCGACCGGGGTCAGCCCAGGAGGGCGCGAGGGGAGGGGGAGGGGGAGGAGGCGGCGGGAGTGATGCGGCGGCGGCAGCAGCGGAGCTGGGCGAGCAGGCGGCGGTGGCGGTGGGGCTGAAGCCGCGCGGGGTGGTGGCGTTGGAGCGGCTGGAGTTCAGAGAGCTGCTCAGGCGCAAGGGAGCCCTCTCGGGCTACCTGCAGTGCCGGTACGCCGCCCACCTGCCATCGGCCGCAGCAGGGCGTCCACCCGCCTCGCCTGTCCTGCTCTCAAGAGGCGCCTGCTCTTGCTTAGTGGCCAATACTGACTCCTTCACGCTTCCTACCTTCCGCTGGCACTTGAATATTCCCCATCCGTCTTCGTTTCCGTTGCGTACCCTCCTCTTGTTTCCCTATCTCTCTCCCATTCCCTGTCCCTGTCCTTCCCTCCCCAACCCCTGGCAAACCCCGTCTCCCTCGTGCTTCTCGCCCTCTCGTCCGCCCTCTCTCGCCCTCTCTCTCGCGCCCGTCAGCAACATGGTGCTCTCAGCGTGGTACGCGGACGTGTCGCGCTCGCTGCCCCTGGCCGCCTTTGGAGTGCCGCCCATGCCGCTGCCTGGCGAGCCCGCGTGGTTCGGCGTGATGCGCCTCGTGTACACGTTCCTCCATGAAAAGGTGCGCACGGGGGCAGTTGGGGTGGCGGCACCAAACTCCTGACAACTGGTGTCTTGCTAGAGAAGTCCCCGCCATGCCACCATGGTGGTTGGTGTGCTGCTGCCTTGGCTTTCACGCACCAGCGCCTGCATCACTACCGCTGCGCAGCCCTTGGCATGTGCAGTACTTGGGCTGTCGCACTGCCGTCGCTGTGCCCACTTGTCCCGCATTGACCTCATTGCTCTCATCCTTGTATGTGCACCAGCAGAAGCATCTTCGGGTGTGGCAGAGTATAACGATCAGATAGCCGCAGAGTGAGAGGAGGCCCCAAGTATGGTTAACGACTTCGTGTGTGGGACGGGAGAGACATTGACCATTCTTCTCCCTCGCTTCTTCTCTCTCCCCTCCTAACGCCCCCGCTGTGTTTGTCGCGGTTCACCGCTGTTTCCGTTGCCCGCCATCCCGTTCCGGTCAGGCCTTCATCAATCTCTGCAAGGCTGGCGATCTGCCCTCTTCGCCCCCGCACGGCTTCCCGTCCACCCCACCCTCACCAGCCGCAGCCCTTGCGCCAGGCTCTTCGCCAGCCCTCCTAGCACCAGCTTCGCTATCAGCCTCGTCAACGCCATCAGCGCCATCAGCACCCCGACCACCAGTCAACCCCGCCACCCCCACCGTACCTGCATGCCCTGCTCCCCCCCTGCACGGCCGGCGGGTGGTGGTGGTGGGCGCGGGGCCGGCGGGGCTGACAGCGGCGCGGCACCTGGTGCGTCTGGGCGCGCAGGTAGTGGTGCTGGAGGCGCGGGAGCGCGTGGGCGGGCGCGTGCACACGGACTGGACGTCGCTGTCCGTGCCCGTGGACCTGGGGGCCAGCATCATCACGGGTGCTGCGCCCGACGTGCACGGCAACCTGCCCCCGGACCTGTCGGCGCTGCTGTGCCAGCAGGCGGGGCTGCCGTGCGTGGTGCTGCGCGACGCTTGCCCGCTGTACGACGCGGTGAGCGGTGGCAAGGTGGCGGTGGACGTGGACGCGCGCGTGGAGCGGCAGTTCAACCGCCTGCTGGACGACCTCGCCGCTGTGGCGGCGCAGCAGGGGCAGGCCGCCGTGCACATGTCCATGGCGCAGGGCGTCATGCACACACTGGGGGAGGGGTTTGGGCGGGAGAACCTGCAAGGCGTGGGGGGGTCGCTGGTGGAGGGGCAGGGGCAGGAGAGGCGGGGGGAAAGGGAGGAGGGGCGTGGTGGCGTGGAGGGAGAGGGTGGAGGGAAGGGAGAGAAGGATGGCGCTGGAAGGGAGGCATGCGCAGAGGACTGTAGCGGCAACAGGGAGGAGGGAAGCAGGGAAGGGGCGGGGAGGAGTGGAAGGAAGGGGGGAGCGGGTGGGCAGGCACACAGGGCTGGCATGACTAGCAGCCAGAGCAACGATGGCGACAATGGCGGTGGCGGCGGTGGCGTGTGTGACGCCGCGTTGTGTGGAGGAGCGTCTGCTCTGAGTATCATCACGGGAGGCAGGTGGAACGGCGGCGCTATGGCCGCCACGGGTGGCAGTGCGGCGGCAGAGGAGAGGGAAGGGGCTGGTGGGCAGCTCCAGGCGCAGGGTGTGGGGGTGAGGGACGGCGCTGGGGTGCAAGAGGAGCAGCAGGCCAGGGCAGATGGGAGGGCGGAGGTGATGGTCGAAGGAGAAGAGAAGCAGGAGGTGGAGGAGGCAGGAGACAATGGGAGAGAAGGCCGAGAATTGAAGGAGGAGGTCGAAGGGAAGGTGGGCATGGTGGATGGGGAAGGCAGAGGAGCGTGGGGGACGGAGGTGACGAGGGGTAGGAGCGCAGGTGAGGAGGGGAGAATGCAAGAGGAGGCAGACGGAGGGGCGTGTGGGCAGGAGGAAACGCTAGCGGGGCAGGAGGTAAAACAACAGGAGCAGGAGAAAAAACAAGAGCAGCAGGAGGAGGAAAAACAAGAGGTTCAGGTGGAAAAGCATGAGGAGCAGGAGCAAAAGCTAGAGGAGCGGGAGGAGAAACACGAGGAGCATCAGGCAGCAACGGAGGGGGAGAGGGTAGTAGCTGTGATGGCCGAGGTGAGCAGCGCGGGTGAGGGTGGGGGCGAGCAGCCGTGTGCACACTCCGTGGCACATGCTGAGGAGAGCGCGGCGAGACAGGTGAGGGGAGGGGCGCGTGCACGGCAAGTGGAGCGAGAGACAGACCCGTGTGGCGGTGGAGGGAATGCGTGGGACAGCAGGGAGGGCGGCTGCCAGAGCACGGAAGGGTGTGGCGGAGTGCAGGAGAGCAAAGACAACTCGGCTGAGGGGCTGAGGTGGATGGGGAAGAGGAAGCGAGCAGGGATGGAGCCAACAGACTCTGGACACGTGGCAGCCTTGGGTGGGCAAGGAGGGCCGGACGCAGTGAGAGGGCGAGGGGCGGTGATGGCGAGGGAGCGGGGCAGCAAGAGAGCGAGGAGAGAAGCGGGTGAGGTCGGGGGGGCACACGCTGGAAACGGGGCAGAACCAACGGCGGAGGGGGGATCGGGCGAGGGGAGGGCGGCAAATAGGAGCGGGGAGAAGGGAAGCGTTAGAGGGGTTACGGAGGTGAGGACTAGGGCCCAAGCAAGGCGGGCAGGGAGATTGAAGGAGGAGCAAGGGGTGTGTGGGGAAGCGAGGGTTGGTGGGGATGGAGAGGAAGGAGCAGCACAGGGGAAGGAAGCTAGCAAACAGGTGAAGGCAGAGAGTGCACTCAGAGAGAGTGTGCATGGGCAGGGGGGGGAGCAGTCGATGGAGAGGACGAGAGGGCCGATGACTCGAAGGCAGAGCAGGGACGCAGCAGAGAGCGACAGGGAGAGGGAAGGGCTTAGGGAGAAGGGGTGGGAGGCAACAAGGCAGGGGGCGAGCGGGCAGGCAGAGGAAGCAGTGAGGGCGGGCAGGGCGTCTAGTGAAGAAGGGGCGAAGCGGAGTGCTGAAGGGGAGGGAGCAGGGAAGGGGATGGCGGCAGCGGGCAGTGGCAAGGCTGTGAGGGACGTGCGGCGGCGGTCCATAGCGGACCTGGTGGCGGGGCTGGACAGCAAGGACAGAAAGGGCAATGGGGAGGGCGGCAAGGGCAAGAGCTGGAGGGAGCAGGAACGGCGGGAGGTGGAGCGGCGGGTGCTGGGGTGGCACTTTGCAAACCTGGAATACGGGTGTGCCACGGACCTCACGCGCCTGTCGCTGCCCTTCTGGAACCAGGACGACGCGTTTGGTGGGTTTGGCGGGCCCCACTGCATGGTGAAGGGCGGCTTCGCACACGCCATGACGCAGCTTGCTGAGGGCGTGGACGTGCGCCTGGGGCAGCAGGTCACCCACGTGGCCTGGGGGGGTGGGGAGGGGGAAGGGGGTGCTGGGGGGAAGGCGGACGAGCGGGGGGGAGGGTTGGAGGGAGGAGGGAGTGAGAAGCCGTGTGGGTGTGTGGCAGGGGCGAAGGGCTGTTGTGTTTCCTCAAGGTGCTGTGGCGCAGGCACGGGTGCGAGCATGCACGAGGCTGGGGTCAACGGAGCAGCGGCAGACATGGGGAAAGTAAAGGGGATGGCAGACACGCAGCAGACTCATGCGGGCACCAACGGCCATGCAGCAGCAGCAGCAGCAGCAGCAGGAGCGGTGCATGTGCGCACGGCGTCAGGAGAGGTGTTCCCGTGCGACGCTGCTCTCATCACAGTTCCCCTGGGGTGCCTCAAGGCCAAGGCAGTGGCGTTCTCGCCCGCGCTGCCGGCGTGGAAGGCGCGCGCCATAGAGCGGCTGGGGTTTGGCACGATCAACAAGGTGATTCTGGAGTTCGACCGCGCCTTCTGGGACCCCCATGTTGACTACTTCGGCGCTGTGGGCCAGCCGCAGCCCGCGCAGCGCGGCAACTGCTTCCTCTTCTGGAACCTGCAGCGCACGTGTGGCGCCCCCGTGCTCGCCGCTCTCGTGGTGGGGCGCGCCGCCATGGCCATGGAAGGCCGGGGCGAGGGGGGAGGGGAGGGGGAGGGCGAGGGGGAGGGGAGGGGAAAGGAGGAGAGCTCTGGCAAGGGGCGTGGGAAGAGGGTGCAGGATGAGAGTTCGCGGAGGAGGAGCTTGAGGATTAGGAAGGCAGAGGGTGGGGGTGCAGGGGATGGGAGGCAGGGGGAGAGGGGGATGGCAGAAGGGGAGAGGCAGCGGAAGGAGCGGGTGGTTCAGCATGCGCTGAATGTGCTCAAGACAATATTCGGCCGCCGCAATGTGCCCAAACCCAAAGCAGCAGCTGTCACCTTCTGGGGCTCCGACCCTTTCAGGTATGCTGTGCTGTGCTGGTCCCTTCCCTCTACTAGCCGTATTTTTCAGCCCCTTACTTCCTCCCCTCACCCCCATCCCTCCCGTTCACCCCGTTTCTGATTTGTGCACCCCTGTTCTCCTCCCTCCCGTCCCTCCTGTCCCTCCCCGCCCTCTCCGCCTCGCCTCCCCATTGTCCCTGCCAGCTTGGGCGCCTACTCGTACGTGCCGGTGGGTGCGTCGGGGCGAGACTACGACCTGCTGGCTCGGCCGGTGCAGGCGCGGCTGTTCTTCGCGGGGGAGGCCACGAGCAGGGAGCACCCCGACACCGTGGGGGGCGCCATGCTCAGCGGCAGGCGCGAGGCGGTGAGGATTGCAGGCGTGCTGCAGGGAGCGGGCGATGTGTGGGAGCGAGCAGAGGCTCTTGCTGCTGCGGTGGCGCACAGGCAGACCGATGAGGAGCGCGAGGAGGTGCGGTGGGTGCGGGAAGTTCTAGGGGACGCAGAGCGAGGGGTGGGCGAAGGGGGAAAGGGGGTGGAAATGAAGTCAGAGGAGGAGGGAGCGGATGGAGAGAAGGGAGAGGGCAGGGGTGAGAGGCGTAGTGATGGTGGTGAGGTGAGAAGTAATGGTGATGGTGAGTGGGAGGGCGGGGGAGAGCAAGCGCGGAAACAGCGAGAGAGGGAGAGCACACGACATCCCTGGGCGGACCTAGACATAGGGCACAGTGCGTGTGTGCAGACGGGGGTAGAGGAGCGGAAGGCAACGGAGGGGGCTGGAGGAGAAGCAGCGCAGGAGAGAGGAGATGAGCACGTGGGGGCGAAGGGCGAGGCAGGTGTGGCGGAGGTGAGTGTGCAGGTGGATGAGGGGGAGGCAAGGAAAGGGCACGATGGTCCAGGGGAGACAGGGAAGCTGAGAGAAGAGGCGGAGACAGGGAAGGAGGGGGATCCAGGAGGAGTGACCCCACATGCCGTGCGCAAGGGTAATGGATCGGGTTCTGTGGCACAGGGGGTGCAGGCGAAACGGGAGGAAGGCAAAGGGGGGGAGGTGAGAGCAGAGGAGGGTGGGGGGGGGGAGGTGCGAGGGGAGAGGGGCGTGGAGGAGGAGAGGGTGTTGAGGCGGCGAGAGACACTCACAGAGCTGAGGCGTGGTGCGGCACTGGCTGCCGTGCTGAGGATGTCAGGCTCACAGGGCGGGCAGGGGGGCGCACATTCAGTGCAAGGGAGGGAGGCGAGTGGGGGGCATGGCGTGGGTGTGGAGAGGGAGGGCGGAGTGCACACGGTGGGCGGGCGGGTCTTTGTATGCCGAGAACTGCTGCAGCTGCCAAGAAGGGTGCTGGAGGCAGTGGCGGGCAGCAGAGCGGGGCTGGAGCGAATCAGAGAGTGGATGACGGTGAGTGTGAGTGGGTGCGGGTGTGACCATGTCATTGATTGCAGCGAACTGAGTCACAGGCTCATGTACTACTTGTGACCATTCACCACCCCCACCCCTCCTCCCTCCCTTTCCCCCCCCCACCAGGAGTCCCTGCACTGCAGCAGCTCTCAGGTGCTCTCGGCCTCTCTCCGCCTGCTGCTTGCTGCTGCCACCTGCCCTCGATGTGTGCGCAGCTCAGGTCAGGGACAGTTCTTGCATACAGGCATCACTACCACATCAGGGTATCCCACCCCCCCACACAAGCTCATGCACCCCTTGCGTTTCCCCAATTCAGTCAGTTGGATTGATTCGTTGTTCGTGTGAGCCTTGCTTGTTGCTGTTCACCGTCGCACTCGCTCCCTCCGACTCCTCCTGCCCCACCCGCCCCCCTGCCTGTCCCTGTGCGCCCGGTCAGGAGTGGCGTCGGCTGTGCGTGCTGTACTCGTGTCGCCCCGTGTGGGGCGCGAGGTGCGGTCGCTGGCGTCACGCCTACTGCGCCTGTGGCATGTGCTGGACCATGGCCCTGGGGGCCCTGCTGCTGCTACACGGGGGGGTGCACGTGGAGGGGCGGGCGAGAGGGCACGGGAGAAAGTGGGCACGGGGCAAGTGGGAAATGAGGGAGAGGCTGATGTGGCAGAAGTTGATGTGGTGTTGGAGGCGTGTGGGGTGTCAGGAGGGGCGGAGGGGGAGGAAGCAGTGAGTGGGGATGATGAGAGCTTGCCGGGGGGAGAGGGCGCAGAAGGCAGTGACAGTGAGGCGGATGGAGGGGAGGGCGGCACAAGGCTGGAGGGGCGAGACGAGCAGGCAGCAGAGGGTGCTGGCGCTACAGTGCAAGCAGGGGTGTGCAATGGGTCACATGGGGGCGTGCGTGATACGGCAGGCGGTGATGGAGGGCAGGGAGAGGGGCAGGCGGGAGGACAGGGAGGAGGTGAGGAAGGAGGGAAAGGAGCCAAGGGGAGTAAAGGGCAGAGCCATGTGAATGGGCTGGATGCTGGGGTGGTAGCTGGAGGGAGCCCTCAATATCCGCATACTGGCCGTCAGACAGCCTCTGGTGCCACGCCTGCTGCTGCCCCTCTTCCTCCTTCTCTGCAGGATGCAACGGCAGCTGGCAGCACGTGTACCATTGCAGGCCGTGGTGAAGGGCCAGGTGAAGCAAGCACGCCCGCGACTAAGTCGGCATGTCTGGAGGCACCTCAAAGCATGGCTCATGACACGTGGGGGGGGAGCAGGGCAGTAGAGGCAGTCGGGGGGATGGGAACAAGAACCGGAGTAGCAATGACAGTCGTTGCCGTGGCATTGGAAGCTGCCAGACGAGCAGCTGAGGTAAAAGGGGGGGGAAGACACGGAGTGGTACCATGCTTTCTTGAGCCGCCTGACTGAATGGCTGGCCTACTCGCCCTTGTACCTTCATATTGTGTGTTCGCCTTTTTCCGTCCAATTGTGTTCTTCTCCTCATCTCCTATCCCCAATATTCCCATCCCTTTCGTTGTTGCCCCATTCCCCTCATATGCCGTCTCCTCTGGTCCGGCAGGCGCTGGCAGCAGGCGAAGTGCAGGCAGGCAAGCCAGCCAGCGTGGCAGCCCAACTGTCCCCAGCAGCTGGTGGCAGCAGCGGTGCGGCATCAGCTGGCACCCCATCGGCATCGGTAGTGCAGCGCAAGCAGCAGGTTACTGGCATGCGCAGCCAGCGGCAATCACCCGTGGCAGGTGGGGCTATTGGGGCGGATGGCGGAGTAGGCAGCATGGAGAATGGCCGGGGCACGCTGTGGCGGCAGAGTTCGGGGGAGTGGGAGGGGGCCGCCATCGGGGGTGGGCGAGTGCGAGGGAGGGTGAGGGCAGGGGCGTCTGCATGGGCTTGGGCGAGAGCGAGAGTGGGGGAGGAGGGCAGGAGATGGCCGGGGCTAGATGTGAGTGGGGAAGGAGGAGCGGATATGGAGGAAGCTCTAGAGAGCAACAGGGGGGATGCAGCACACAAGAGGAGGAAGCTGATGCAGCCAGTCATTGGTGCGGTGCCAAGTGGAGTTGGCTTGTCAGGCGATTCACTGCATCTGAATGGCAGGGGGGATGGTGAGAGCGAGTGCGAGAGTGAGGAGAAGCAGAGAGGCGCATGTGAGGGCGGGGTGAGAACAAGGGCCCAAGCACGGGCGTCTGGGCGAGTTGTGAGTAAGGAAGGCGGCTTGGAGTCCGATGCTGCAGCAGTTACTGGCGTGGATGATGGGAAGGGGTGTGTTGTGAGGGGTGGTGCAGTTGGCATGGTAGTGGGTGTCGGCAGGCCCGGTGTTTCTGTAGAGGAGTGCAGAGCAGCTGTGGGAGTGTATGTGACGTCGCTGCTGGAGCCAGTGAGGGACAAGCAGAGGGTGACACGGCAGCAAGTGAGGGAGATCAGTCGCAAGGCAACAGACGAGGTGAGGCAGGGTTTCTCACCAGTAGCGTGGGATGCCTGGTGGATTAGCAGTACAGAGGATCGCCATGCCATTGCGTGTGCACTGGCAACGATGCAGCAGCAGCGCATGGCGACAGTCCACTGGGCCGGGTCGTGGTTCCTTCACAGCGGTGGGGAGTGCCAATGGTGCCTGTGCTGCTGCCATATTCCCCACTGTCACCATGGTTGGCACTCTCTCCTATGTCTGTTTGCTGTGCATGCGTTTCAATCAGAAGTGTTATGTGCGACCCCTTACCATCCACCAGGTGATGGAAAGTGCTGATGTGGAAGGGTGTATCAGCCTTCACGACGCGTCTCTCTCGCCCCACCTCAAGTCAAAGGTAAGGACATGGCAGAAGGTTGGGTTGGGAGGGAGATTTGACAGGGAGATGGTAAAAGCCGTGCGGATTTGTTGGTGGCCTTGCCGTTTGTGAGTGCTGCAAGAAAGCCACTATGGAGCTCCCATTCAGTCACGTTGCGATCGGCTGCTGCCACCGTTCCCGAGCCTTTCAGTTGCAATCACATTTTTTATGAACAGCTTCGGTTTGAACATTCACCGCATTGTACCACGTTTGCCGAGGCGTTAAGCACATTACAACACACTGTAACGTTTTTAAACTCTATGAATGGTCGACCCCGAGCCGTGTTCAAGAAAAATGTGACACGCCCTTAGCCTGTCTTATCCACTCCATGGGGAGTTTCTACCTTGCATGAACTTGTGCCACCCATCTTTGTATCCATCTCTTTTTGCCCCTGTTGTTTGTCCAGATTCGCTTTTCTGTCGACAAGTACGTGAAGATGTTCACTGACTCATCCAGAGCGGACACAGAATCACAACGGGCGAAGAGGAAAAGCTTACCTTAGCTTAGATTCACCTGATGGCGCCGTGTCAATTTGTCATATTGATTCCTGATTTTGCAGTGTTGAATTAAAATTTCAATTTTATTGTGCACGAGTGATGTACTGTAGATTGGCAATCCATGGATGATGTTTGATAGCATTGGAATAAAGGTAGTGTGTATGATATATCAAAATTGAGAATTGAATGAATGATAGAGTGAGAGTACACACAGATATACCTAAGTGTTGTACTCTCTAAGAGGCGACCCTATACAGTCTATACAAACATGACAAATACACATGTTTGACACACCCCCTAGACTGCATCGGGGAATGCCCTAAACAAACAGCTCAGGACGGCACTACTAGTCCAACCTCTGAGACAAGGGTCTGAGAGACCAGTCAGAAGGAGTACAAACAAGGCAAGAACAAGAGCAGGGCGGCACTACTAGTCCAGCCACTGGGAGAGGACACAAGTCCAGTTTGAGTATACGTATAAAAGACAGTACAAAGTCAAGGTCCTAGCAAGTGAGAGGCTACAGGAACTAGACCAAGCTGTACACAGTGCCGCTGATGATCTTTAGGCGCAAGCGCCTTCGTAAAGATATCAGCCGTGTTGGCACCTAAGGCCAAGTGTACTACGCGAGCCTGACGTCGCTGCTGTAGCTCACGCAGGAGGAAGTACCGCAGCTGAATGTGCTTTGCTCTGCCCTCGAGTCGAGGCTCCTGACACAAGAGGATCATGGCCCTGTTGTCAGCGAACAGGACCGGGGCAGAGCTAGGCCGCTCACCTAAGTCGGTGAGCAAGAAGGTCAGCCAGCGGAGCTCCTGTGCCGCCATGGCACCAGCGTAGATCTCAGCCTCACAGCTGGACTGCGCAACAGACGAGGAGCGGGTAGCTCTCCACGAGACGGCACCTGAGCCAAGGCTGAAGCAGTAGCCCTGGGTAGACCTGAGTGTCTCAGCGTCGTCTGCCCACGAAGCGTCTGTGTGTCCAGTAAGGACCACTGGCCTGCGTCCTCCTAGCACTAACCCCATGCCCGATGTACTAGCAAGATAACGCAGAACCCTCTTAGCGGCAGACCAGTGCTGCGGTCGGTGCCTGCCAGTGGCCACAAAGCGAGCCAGGATGCTGAGAGGGTATGCGAGATCTGGGCGAGTGCAAGTCATCAGGTACATGAGGCAACCCACCAGCTCTGCGTAGGGGCCGCTGGGCTCTACCGACTCCTCAGACACTGGAGCGGAGAGTCTGTGGTCTACAGGTAGAGGGGTGGGCTGTGCAGAGGAGAACTGAAGGCTGAACCTCTGAAGGACCTGGAGCACCAAGTGTGACTGAGTCAGGGTGATGGTGCGCGCAGCTCTGTCCCTGGAGATCTGCAAGCCAAGGTAACGGCGCAGTTGTCCAAGTTCAATGCACGTGTGTCTCTTCAGCAGCTCGGCCTTCACGGAGGCCAGTGCATCCCTGTCAGCTGTGGCAAAGACCAGGTCGTCGACGTAAACAAGGGTGTAGAACGGAGTCTGGCCAGCACGAACGAAGAGTGAAGGGTCTGCAGAAGACGGAAAGAACTGCAGGTCAGCAAGCGTAGCACGGAGAGTGTCGTGCCACTCACGAGGAGCCTGGCGCAGGCCGTAGACGGGGCGCCGCAGGAGCCACTGGGTCCCAGGAGGGAAGGTGCCAGTGAAGCCCTGAGGGCGCCGCAGGTAGACCTGCTCGTGTAGGCTGCCCTGAAGGAAGGCAGTGGAGAAGTCGAGGGAGTGAAGTTCGTAGTCACGCTGAGCAGCTAGGTGTAACAGAACCCGAAGAGTAGTCATCTTCGGGGTCGGAGCGAAGGTCTAGAAGAAGTCCACCCCCTCGCGCTGACTAAAGCCTCTAGCCACATAGCGCGCCTTGAAGACAGGCGGCTCTCCAGGAGGGCGCTTCACCTTGAAGAGCCAGCGGCCATCGACTACGTTCACCCCAGGTGGGGGAACTGCGTCGACGAAGGTGCCGGTGGATCTCCAAGATGCCATCTCCTGCTCCATGGCAGCTATCCACTGCGAGGCCCAGGGTCCCGAAGTCGCCTCAGCGTAAGTGCGAGGGGTCGGGATGTCGAAAGCGTCTGGGTCACCCTCAGGGACTAGCAGCATGGAACAGAGATGGGGAGCAGCCTCGGACAGGAAAGCAAGCTCGAACTGGCGGTCCTCCAGGACGTCACTGCCAAGGGCAGGAGCACCCCCGACAGACGGAGGACAGGCAGGGTCAGAGACCAGAGCGGTGGCGTAGTCAAGGCGGCGGGTAGAGGCGAAGTCAACGACCGCGGCGACAAGAGCGTCAAGGCACGAGACCGGAATAGACGGGTCGGTAACGAGAGAGGCAAGGACCCGAGGAACAAGAGGACGAGCGGCACGAAGGTAGTCAGACAGCGGGGGGGGGTGCAACAACAAGGGAGGACGGAGGAGGCGACGGCAGAAGGGGAGGACGAGACGCGTGGGAACGAAGCAACATAGGGTGGGAGCGCAAGACAGGCGAGGCAGGACGAGCGCGGGAGGGACAGTGAGACCAGACGTGCGACGGGGGAGTCGGGTCAGGGGACAGAGGAGGGGACACAGGAGGGGAACGAGGGGGGAGACGGGCCGGGGACGAGTCCGGCGGAGGGAAGACAGGGCCGTAGACAGGAAGAGGAGGAGACGGCCGGGGAGGAACCGACGCAGGGTCGGGGGACGGAAGGCCGAGCAGGCGAAGGGCTGACACCGGCGGGGACTGCTGTTGCGGCGGCACAACGGCGACACCGGGACCGCAAGCTGCTCCGCGGCTACCACCGGCACACTCCACACCAGCACCCCCAGAGGGACCACCTCCTGGGCGACCGAGACGAGCACCCCCAGAGTCAGCGAACGGGTGCTGCGACGGCGGCGGTGGCGGCGGCGGCGGCGGGGGCGGCAGCGACAACGACGGCTGCAGCGGCGGCAGAGGCGGTGGAGGGGGGGACTGGGGAGGGGACGCTAGGGGAGGGGCGGCTGGCGAGGACTGAAGAGGAGGGCCACCAGAGTGAGAAGACTCCTCAACCGGGTCCACCGACGGAAGGGGGGTGACGTGGGACACACCAGAGGGGGCGGGACGGGGAGGAGGAGGAGGAGGGGCAGGGACTAACGGGGAAGGAGGGACCAGGAACAGGGGGGGGGTAACCGGGGGACCACGGTGGGGGAAGCGACGGTAGTAGGAGACGGACTCGTCAAAGGTGACGTCACGAGAGTGAAAGAAGCGGTGAAACGGCGGGTGGTAAAAGTGCCGGTCAGACGTGTCAAGGGGAAAACCGAGGAAGACGCAGGGAAGGGTGCGGGCAGTGAGCTTGTCCGTGCCGGAGGCACGGACGTGAGCAAGGTAGCCCCAGACGTGGAACGCAGACGCGTCACCAGGAGACCCAGTCCAAAGACGAGTCGGCGAAACCTGCGGCTGCTGAGGGTGCGGCCACAAGTTAAGCTGGTGAGAAGCGTAGCGCACAGCGAACGGCCACAGAAAATGGGGTGCACCGGCATGGATCATGGAGGTGCGAGCCACCTCCATGACCAAACCGATGCGTCGCTCAGCGACCCCATTCTGCTGTGGGGAGTCCGGTAGGGTGAACGTCTGGGTGATGCCCTCCGCACGACAAAAGCGACCAAGGACACCGGAGGCAAACTCGCCACCACGGTCGGAGTGAAGACGCAAGACAGGGAGACCGCGGTGGACACGCGCAGAGACAAGCCAGGGGATGAGAGCGCCAGGCACGTCGGCCTTGCGCTCCAGGGGAAAGACTGTGGTGTAACGAGTGAAGTCGTCGACAAGCACAAGGAAGTAGCGCTCTCGACGCGGCCCAGGGACGGGGGCGGGGCCCCAGACGTCCAGGTGCAGGGTCTGCAGTGGCGCGGCGGTAGGGGGAAACGAGGAGGAGTGCGGGGCACAGCGAAGCCGACCCTCAACACAAGGCGTGCAAGGTGGGGCTGGGGAGGAGGGAAACACGGGGAGGGAATCTGGGAGACCAAGGACAAGACCGTGCTGGGACATGTGACGCAGACGCGGGAGCGCAGGATGACCTAGGCGGTGGTGCCGAAGGAGAGTCGGGTGAGTGAGGGACCGACAGGAGCAGGCAGCAGCAACCTGGGTAGACGCAGCCACCTGAGGAGGCGCCCCAGCCGGGGGGGTCACGGTGTCCAGAGTGAACAGGCCGGACACCGGGTCCCGGGGGAACGTGGACAGGGGGGCACCAGTGGCGGCCTCGGTACAGACAGCATACCGCTCGTGACCAGGGAACGTAGTGGTGACGCCAAGGTCCTGGAGGCAGCCGACACCAACTAGGTTCGTGGAGAACGAGGGGATATGCAGACCTGTGAGAGTGCCCGAAGGAACCGCCGGACAGGGAAGGGTGGTGGAACTGCGGGCGACGACCGGACCGCCGGAGGGGTCAGCAAGAGAGACGGCAGCTGGGACAGGAAGCGGCGTCAGGGTGGTAGAGTCGCGGAAGAAACACCGAGAAGCGCCAGAGTCCAAGGTGAAGGAAAGCGAAGCAGAGGCGTCTGGCAACGGAACGACGGCGGAAGCACCAAGACTACACAAAGCAGGGGATCCTACGCCTGACGCAGCAGGGGAGGCTAAGCTAGGCACACCTACACTAGGCAACAGTGAGTAATAGCCGGGAAGCACACTAGAGTCATCAGCATACATCACATGCAGAGCAGCAACTATGGCATCCATGTCCATATCAAAAATCTGAATCTTACGACTAAGCAAACTGTGCCAGTCCGGGAGGTCTGGCGACGGGCCGAAGCGCTGACGAAAGAGGTCGTCCAGGCGACGAAAACAGCGGGGAGTGGAGTGATCGAGCCTACCGCAAACAAAACCGCGGCGAGGACCGGTCTGGATCTGGTACTGACAATGCCCGCCACCAGAGCCACCACTCGGCACACCACCACGCGCCCGGCCACCGCCAGCACCGGGCCACCCGGGCGGGAGGACACTCGTCTGCCGCGTCTGCGACGGCTACTGCGGCTGCTGCGAAGGCTGCGACTGCTGCGGCTGCTGCGGCTGCTGCACCTGCAGGGGCGGCGGCTCAGCTGGACTGGGCAGGGTCCCCTCGTCCGCTCCAGCACC